GCATATATATGCATATATCGCAGCGCGACGCATATAGTGCGACATTGACAGCTCATTTCTGAAAGATGCGATTTCGAAACATAATAAAATCATATATGGTTGAATTCAGCGTAAAAAATGCTACAACTTTTGTCATTACAAAAATTTTGAAATTCAAAAAAATAATAAGAAGGGTGGGGGTAAATTAAAAAATATAAATTTTTTTAAAAATCGACTTACGCGGTTATAAAGCTCATAAAAGACCATGCAACTTTTATTCGAAACATTTTTTGATACCTCTTACAGTTTTGACGATATTCAGTCAAAATCAAAAAAACCGTTTTAGCTTGTAGGGGGTTGTTTCAACCCTAAACGTGCGAGAAAGCACATAAAAAAAAATGTGTCTCTTATTTTGAACTACTTTACAACATATTTAAAGCTTGTCAAAATCGGAGGGGGACACTTGGGTCCCTTTCCTTGTCAGTATTGATATTTTCGGTGTGGACCACCGCACGTGGTATCGATTTCTGTATCCCCGCGTATTGTGGTGCGGCCCACCGCACGCTTTACGCCTGGAATTTCTGGACTAACACAAAATTCTTTTCTTATCCCGAAATCCAAAACTTGTCGCGGAGGAGTGAAGTACCGCGCGCGGCAATTGCTTCTCCAACATATTAAACCAACCTCCGAGCAATATTCATTATACATCGACGTGAACACGGACCACTGAACGACCCAAGAAGGTCCAGATATATTTCCAGGACATCTAAGTAGTAAGTCAAAACCTTCATAATTAAATTAGTTGTAAGACCTCTCACCTTCCTCTTCTACCCCCCCCCTCTCTCCTTTTGAAAATTTGCACGAGGTTCCGCCCTTGGTAAAAGGAGTTAATTCTCTTGACTAGAAAAGGGAACCACGAACGATTGGTTGAGGCCTCTAACAGCGTAATATCGATCATTACGATCGTTGACCTGTTCTCAGCCAAGGGAAATTGTTCGGCTCGCGCGGTCGCCTCCTCTCATACCGACCAGCGAGCAAACACCACAAATTTATACTTTTATTGTTGCGTCCGTCCGTATACCTGACCCGCCCCTTTTTCTCCAGGTTAGTACGTAACAGTAGCAACACTTGATAAAGAAGATGAAGAAATTATATATGATGACGAATCTGCTAATAACCATTATAAAACTGAAAATAATAATAGTTCATGTAAGTGTGAAATGTGATTTATGAATCTATTTAAATAATTTTATATGTTTTATTAATTTTATATTTCAATAATTTTATTTTATATTTTTAGCAAACTCTGATTTTCAACGCTATATAATAAGAAAATTGACAGATAGAGGATTCAAATTATCTTCACTAGAAGAACAAGAAAGACTTTTAAACAATAGAATTGATATTATGTTACGTAAACTTGAAAAATGTTTTTCATGTGAAGAAATTTTGGACAAACAAATTGCAAAAGAATCTTTAATGGATAATTTTTCTATTGACAATATTGAGGATCTGGAAAAATTCAAAAAATCGTTAAATGATAATATTATTAGCCGCAAAGAATTGGTAAATACATTAAAAAATAAAAAATTTTATTAAGTATATGTATAAAATTATATTCTTAATAGTCAAATCTGTTGAAACAAATTTCTCCAAGTGTCTGTTATTAATTTAGTTAGTAGAATGTTAACAGAAATCTAATGAAAGACTCCGATGTCCAACGTATGACGTCCGATATCCATAATAACAGCTTCTTAGAAAACAAGAAAATAAGAATTCTTAAAAAAAAGCTCTGTTATTTTGGATATCAGATGTTGGCAGCATCGGATGAATCCTCAATCTCAAATTATATCAACAAGCTCTGTTGACAGAATACAAGCTTAATGTAGACACATATAGCATTCTGACTGAATTTGTTGCCAATTTGTCGACAGATTGCCATTTTACTTATTAGGATCTTTCTTATATATTTTTCACTTTTATAGATTAAGCAGCTATCATCTATTGGAGGAAATAGTGTCAAAGGAATCACTTTTAATCTTTTACGAGTGTTAATGTCAGATAAGGTAGCTTCTACATTTAGTTATGTTGGAGGAAAAAAAAACGGATATTTTATGATTTACAACTACGAAAAATTATATTTAGTGAGTAAATAATCAAGTATTTAAATATACATGATATAAACAATATTTATTCATAAATGTAATTTATTTAATTTGTTATTTTTTAGGCGTTGTACGACTTCGATTTGCGGAAGCAACTGAACATTGCATTTCCGAACCAATCAAATCTTGGTTACGACATGCGAATGAGCGTTACCTAAAGAAAAATAAGTAAGTTTTTATAAATTTTCGTAATAAATACACAGTATTTATTAATAAGTTATTAATTATCATTTTTATTCACAGAATGGATAACACAAATGCATAAATGCAACTATCATTTGCATCACGAGCAAAATAGTTACAAATGTTGATATCTGACAACAATAAAAAATATTTTATATAGAGTAACACACGCATATATCAGAATAATTTGCCTCCAGAGTTACATTTTTCATTTATTTTTTTAAAAATGAAATACAATTCATTATTTTCTAAAAATATTAATAAGTCCGTTTATATTATAAAATATATATTTTCTATCAATTAAAATTTAATTTAATAAAATACTTTTTATAAATTTGTTTTAATTTTCATTTGTTTATGTAAATTTATTATATATATTTTATAATATCAAGCTTACATATAAATTTAAAATTTATATAAGTTTAAAGTTTATAACCTTTTTTATAAAATTAAGCAAAAAAGTATATTCATTTATTATTATTAAAAAAATATATTCATTTATTTTTCTGTTTTGTGAATACAAAGTAAAGTACAAATGTTAAAAGTGTTCACAACTTTTATACAGTTATGTATAATTTAATAGATAAAAGTTCTTATACATTTATTTTAAATTTAGTTTAACTGTAACAGTTAAAGTAACTTTAACAATTAAATTTAGTTTAAGTTTAACTTTTAGTTTAAAGTTTAACTTCAACTTTGAGTTTAAGTTTTTTGTTCGCATAAATTTATTTGCACAAAATAAAAAACTTTTTTTTCATGCAAATAAACTTATTTAAATAAATTATTTATATAAGTTAAATATAAGTTCACTCATTCGCTATTATTGTTTTTTTGCAAAAGTCAAAATTTTATTTTTTGTAAATTACAAGTATTTGTAATTTTTAAATTTAATGTTAATTAATATAATTAATAAATTTATGTAATTTGTTCTTAATTAATAATAAATATTACATAAAGAACTATTTTCAGTATTACATTTTAATAGTGGCAGTGAATAACAGAACGCAATCTTAATTTATTTCACTTTCAAAGCATCAATCATGTAATTTTTCCCTAAGAGCGAAAGTGTGAAAAGTGAAAAGTTTTGCACGAATTCGACAATTTTATTTATCAAATTCATGTAAAACTTTTTATTTTTTATGTGTTCGCTTCTAGGAAAAAATTACATTGATGCCCAGAATTTGCTCCTTAAAACATACAAAAAATATCCCTGACATATCCTGTAGAAATCCTTAGGATGTTCCACAGGATCTCCCTGGACTCTCCAGAGGCTAATATATGGCTATCATTTTCTCTTCTCGAGGACGTCCAAAGGATATCCACTGATAAAAATGGGATATCCTTAGGATATCCTACATGTATGTCCTGGATGGCCTTAGGATGTCCTCAGGATATCCTTGTGCTATCTGGGATATAACTAATATGTATGTTATAATTATATGGCAATTAGAATGTACATGTAAGTTACATGTTACATGACAGTTATTTACCTGTATTTGCTAGACAAAAACAAAGATTAAAGAATAACATTTAATTTATATATAAACTTTTATAATTTTTAGATATATCGATTTTTGTTTAAACAAGAGGAATAAGGAAATATCTGAAATGGATTAATATCAAAGCAACATGAACCAAAAACTTTCCAAAATAAAGTTGTATTAGTGTTATGAAGCCTGTTCTTTAAGCTAAAAGATTTAATTATTTGTTGAAACTTTTAACATGATAGATTTGTTTAAAAGAATGTTAATTAGCAAGATTTCATTTTTATAAGTTTGTAACGGTGCAGCCCGCAAGCTGCATCGTTACGGCTACGGACCGTCCATCGTCCGTAGCCCACCAAGGGCGCATCGAGCGCCGATAAGCTTTTTGTCAAAACAGTCAACCGCCGAAAATCCCCCACACCCGACCGTTCCGAAATTCCGTTTTGTGGGGGGACTCGCCGCCGAAACCGCCGATGCTTGCCGATTCAAAGCCGTTCGGCTGCCAGCCGGGTATAAAAGACGCCCGGCTGCACGTCTTCTCACCAGATCCCGTTCGCTGATAGACAGCGAACAATCCTGCTACGAGTGTCCTCGTAGTCCAAACCGAGCATACTCGGATTCTATGCCTGTGCCAACACACGAGTATTCTCGTGTATCGCCGAGCGTCCTCGGTATTCTTGACTCCTGCATACGAATATATTCGTATACCCGCCAAGC